GAATGTTCGTCTTTGTATCAAAGGAACATTCTATAGGCTTTGATCTTTGAATGACATCATGACATTCAGATGACATCACAGGAGTTAAAAAAAATGCAACATTCCAACATTAAAAACAATTTAAAAATAAAAGCTAGTAAGTCGATCAAAATTGCATTTTTATTCACGAATTCATAAAGTTTTTAAATTGATTGGGTTCCAAGTAGTTTCCACTTTATGTCAACACAGCTTAAAAAAAAGGTTAAACCTAAATCAGTAAATTATAACCTATTAATGCATTTATTTAAGTGGTAACAATGGGTTCACTGAATTACTGCTCGGTGGTTTACATTACTTGCAGAAATATGGGTAATATGAGCACAAGGTAGCTAACATTAGCTAGCTAGCCAGTTAACATGAAAATTACCCAAAATATAAAACCAAATGCAGCTAAAGTCTGTCTGTCCTTTTAATTTGGAGTTTTCCTCCTCAAGTCTTTTTACTTTACTTCCTGTGTCCATTTTCCCCAATCTTGTTTACTTTCAGCTGTGTGTTTAGTGTTTTGATCTGTGTCAATTCATTCGGTCTCTGGATACTTTTGAGTTTTGTGTTTTTCTTCATGTGTTGTGACTTTGGTTTTTAATACAATCCTGAGTTTCCTAAGTTGTAACAGAGTCATGCTGTTAGTTAGCGATAATGGAAGGAGATGTAAATTGACTGTTCGGGGCAGGACTTTTATCAGACATGAAGTTTGGTGCAAATTGGAAAAAAAAAATACCCTCAAGTTAAACTACTACTACAACAACAAAGTTTTTTTTATGAAAGGTAGTTTACAGAATGTTACTCTGTTTGCTTTACCGAAGATTTATCTGTCCAAAAACTGGATTTTTAAGATTTTATGAAGAATAAAAAGCATCTGTAGCTTTAATATTTTCTGGTTCTGCCAGATTTGAAACAAACCAAGCTTTATTTTGAAAGTATAACTGACATTACTTCTTGCTAACTTGCCTTTAATTAGCATTAGTCACAAATTTCTCCAATTGCTCTTACCAATCAATCACCACACTCTTGTCCATAATCAATATCGTACCTGCATTATCGATGGTGACCAAAGGGTTATGCAAGAGAATGAAACTTGTCCTTGCTGCAGCCCGACATTCGTTATGAAATATTAAATATTTTCGTACCCGTTGCTCGGTTCGAAGAGCAGGTAGTTGGTCTCAGAGGTTCGCTTGTGGAAGGACACACAGGTGTGTTGGGATACCATTGCCATAGCAGAGAGGATGTCCCCCGTCCGACTCACTGGAAAAGACACAACGACAGTAAACATGTGACATGACAGAGCCGCATCTGAGCCGACTGTAGGACCACAGCGGGTCCTGGTCTTACCCAACTCCCAGCTGATGGTGTACGGTATCTCCGGCGTTGGCCATATGTTCTGTACTGCGTTCCTGTCACTCTGTCGGGTCAAACAACCAAGACAGAGACTCCTAAGTGAAAGAAACTGTTTGATTCAAAGTTTACATGTTTACGTGCATCAGTAAAAACAGAGTTGAGGCAGAGCAGCCGGAGGACGTCAGAGGGAAAACCAGACAATATCCTCTCCATAAAATATCATCCAGTTTCACCCAAATTACTGATAAAGTTGTGTTTGTACAGTAATCAGTGAGCTCCGCTAGCTAACTAATGAATCTTCGCTCTGTGTCGCTAAAAGTTGAA